AAGTAGCCATGTGCTTAAGTGAATGTAGTATTGATCAGAAAATTTTTAGCATAACATTAGGTAATGCTAATTACAATGATGTGATGGCTAACTCTTTGAAATTGAGATATTCAATACATAAATCTTTGGTGTGTGGTGGTGATTTTTTCAAAGTTCGTTGTTATAGTCATATTTTGAATCTTATTATGCAAGTTGGTTTGAACATTATTGATGATGTTGCTAAGATTCGTGATGGTGTGAAAAATTTAAATAAATCAACTACTCAAAAGCATAAGTTTTATGAACTTATTGAAAAAATTTCACTTAAACACAACTAAAAAATTGTGGTTAGACATGTGTATAAGATGGAATTCAACTTATTTGATGCTTGAGCATGCCATCTATTATAAGCAAGTCTTACAACATTGGGGGCAAAGGGGTAATACTTACAAAATATTTATGCTTTCGGAAGAAGAATGGGAAAAGGTGGATAAAGTTCACAAAATCTTAAAGGTTTTTTATCATATTTTCTACAACTAAGTACCCTACATCAAATATTTACTTTAAGGGAGTGTGGATTGATTCATAGGCATTTAATGCAATGAGTAAGGAATCTCATAATTTTATGACTGACATGGTTAGAAATATGAAGGAGAAATTTGATAAATATTGGGTTGAATATAGTATGATTTTGTCTTGTGCTGTAGTGTTGGATCCTCGTTGCAAGATTAGGTTAGTTGAATATTGTTTTAATAAACTTTATGGTAATGATGGCGAGGAGCATGTTAATGCTATAATTAGAACTCTTCATGATTTTTTTGATGAATATAAAGAAAAAATTTCCTCAACCTCCTTGTTGGATCTTCTAGTCAAATTGACATGAGTGAGAGAAATGATGATGGTGATGGATTTGGGGATTATGAACAATTTTTGAGTTCAAAAAGAAAGACTCAAAATGAAAAAACTCAATTAGACCTTGGAGGAACAAAACCTTAATATTAAGGTAGATGTTGATGTTTTGGAGTATTGGAGTAAAAGTTCACTTAGGTATCCTGAATTGGCATCAATGGCTCGAGATATTTTGGCTATTCCTATTTTCACAATTGCATCTAAATCCACATTTAGCATTGAAAAAATGTGATCAATCCTTGGAGAAGTTCACTTAAATCTAAGATAACTCAAACTATAGTTTGTCTTGAAGATTGGCTCCTTGCACAAGGCTTTGTATTAGATAATTTTTTTATCCATTGTTTATTAAAATATATGATTCCACACTTCATTTAATTTAATCTAATAGTTTTTCCAATTATATTGGTCTTTTATTTTCTTTGTATTGGTGAATTCAAGAATGGATGGAGAAGATGTTTTATGGACTTTGTTTGTTTTATTCACTTTTTTTTAATGATTTTGGAGGAACATGAAGTTATATGAATTTAGGTTTAGTGTGTTATGCTATTTGTAGGAATATGAAACTATATGAATTTGTCTCATGTGTTTTATTTTTAGGTTTACCTTATTTTCTTTGTCTCATGCGTTTTATTTTCAGGCTTGCCTTGGTTGTATAGAAACAACCAAACAACAGGGAACATATTGCAAGAAAAAATGGAATTAAAATGGATCCTTTGTAGGAATTAAAATGGATTATGTCTATTTGAACTGATTTTATGATTTAAGAATGTGAAAGGATTGCTTTGTAGGTGGTGATTGGTGAATGTGTGCTCTAAAATGCAAAAGAAATTAAGATGAAATCTTTAATAAAAGGGAAAAAAAACAATCATTTTGTTAGGTCGGGCTTCGGGCTCGGGCTTTTTATGAGGGCCGGCCTTGGGCCCAAGTTGTAGGCCTATTGGTCAGGCTCGGGCCTGAAAAAATTTTGTTAATGAAGAGCAAAAACCCGGCCCAGGAACAGGTCTACAACAGGTTGATCGGATTTGCTAGCCGAGTCCAGATCTGCTTCTCACAGAGCATGCCTCACACCAATCTCACAAGTCCTTGTCGCTCATCAAGAACATCTCCCGTATTTGTAGTTATTATCCATAGGAGATATTCCCAATACAAGGTGGGATGTGGCTGTGAGTCAGTGTGAAGCACATTGGGATTTGCTCCTCACAGAGTGTGCCTCACACCAACCTCACAACAACATCCTACCCTGAATTGGGAACAATCTCTCAATGAATAATAAATACATATAGGGAGGATGTTCCTAGTGTGCGGGCAAGGCATTCTATGAGGTTAGTGAGGTGTACTCGGTGAAGAGCAGATTCAGACTCATATATAATGTTTTTTTTTTTGCGCATTTGGGACTTTGGAGGGTTGAATCTTTGGTTGAGTTGCTTTGAGCTTGTAACTAAGGGCTTGTTTATGAGGGCTTTTACACAATTAAGGAATAGCTGAACAGATTGTTCCACCACAGCTTGCTGAACAACCATTGCGTTCAGCTCATCTAAATTCTTTTACATGGTAGCTTTTGGGGAGGCCCACACAGGAAGCAGTAAGACGTATGTGTTTGGAACCGTGGGCATTTATTCACTAAACGTTTGTACTTGATTTGTTTGCAAAACCTAGAAAAGCAGTAATTAACCCGCTTATTGACACTTAGGCAACGCTAGGTGTAAGTGTCATTTGGCACCACATCAACAAAATAGTGAATAAATGCCTACCCATTGGGGGAAGCGCTAAAATAAAGCCTCCCCCAATGGTAGGTGTGCACATAAATCAAGGCATGCTTTTACAAATCTCTATACGCATGAATCCACATAATGGGGAAAATGCTGAAGTGGTGCCTATATGGCAGTGTTTATTCAATAAATGCCCACGGTTCCGAACACATAAAGTCCAAAAAGGTTTACATTGGGCCGAAAAATGGACTTTCCATTTAGTAGCTTCAATGGTATTTAACTACATTAACTAAGCTGCTTTAAAGAAAATACTAAGCACTCCAATCTCTTGCACACAAACCTTTCCCATATCCCTATCCACAAGACTATCAAGACACCCATGGTAGACTGGTAGTGTCCTATGGTTCATGGGGAGATTTTTCCAATACTCGGTGATTATCTCAACAGAAAAGTTTTAGGCCCCGTTTGATTTATAGGAATAGGGGTGTGGAATTAGAATCGGAATGAGCTATTCCAATTCGGACTGTTTGGTTGGGTGGAATCAAAATCTCATTCCCATTCCTGCTGGAATGGCATTCCCCCATTTGAGGGAATGGCCATTTCCTGCCCTTTGCTGGGGAATAAAATCTCATTCCCGCCGATTCTAATTCTCATTCCCATTCTTGTCTAAACCAAACAGACTATGAGAATAGACCAGTCTGATTCCGATTCCAACTACAAACCAAACAGACTCTATAATTTATTGCCTCAACTAAAATGTACCTTAGGTTTTCCAGAATGTTTTTTTTACCAAAATATCTTGTAGGTTCTTTCTAGCTTTCTTGTGTGGGTTCACCTTACAAAGCTTGAAACCATTGCATGAAAACCCTCCCAAACCCACATCGAACATATCCATTTGTGAGGGATTTTTGCATCTTTTGGTTTTATAGGATGGACCCCACCTAAACATCTTATACCGTTATTGTCATCATCATCATCATCTAATCCTTATCTTAATCATGGGTCTAGATGTAGTAGGCACGTTAGGTAAGCACAATGAGTGAGCACGTAATAGCTATGTGACACATATTCCAGTTAATGTGCCTTTCATCCCAACGTTTTTGTTCTGTTAGACAAAAATTATCTATTATTTTATTATCTTTGTCAAATTAATTAAAAATAAAAGCAATGAAAAAGGAAAACCTAAACATATTGGGAGTTGAGACTCGTTTATGTTTTCCCTTTTCATTATTTTTTATTTATAATTATTTTGACAAAGATAATAAAATATCGAATAATTTCTGTCTAGCGGAGCAAAAGCGTTTGGATGAAAGACGCATTAACTAGAACATGTGTCACACAGACCCCTTAATCATATGGTCAACTACGCGAATCCTATTTTATTATTCTATTCTGTTCACGACCAAAATATACTGTTGTTCAACCAACAAAAATAATTGTAGTGACTTTTTACTAGTATTCAAAGTGGTCCATTGCTTCAACTAAAGCTTCAGCCTTCGCAAACAAGATAGTGAGAGCCTCTTGTGTTGTAGGTGAGGTGTGGTGATTCAGCTATGGCAGTTGAGTACCTGTGTTCCAGATCAGTTATCTTAGAGTAGTTTTCGCATTTCCGTGTGAGGCGCAGCTCTTAATGCTATTAGTGTGATCGGATTGACTACACACAGAGCACGCCCCACAGCCCATCCCCATCCCCTCCGTGCATTGGAGATATCTCCCGATGACAAGCATGGGAGATGCTCTCGTGGTAGAAAGAAATATCAAATTCAATATTTTTTTAAAAAAGAATTCGTTGTTGTCAAGGTGCAATGATGTGGTGTATTAACTTAGTATTAAGATGACATTATCTTCGACATGGGATAATATAAACTAATGCTGAAAATATTTCTACAGCATCATTAATAACAATAAAACCAATATTGTTTTCCCTAAAAAACAAACTATATGGAAGCATCGTTTTCAAACAAAAAATAGTGTTTACAACTCAGGCATACAGAAAACGGTGCTGTGTTAACACCGATGCCAGACACCTGCTTGTACTTTTCACCAACATTGCTTTATATCTGGGTGAGAGCCACCGCGCAAAGCAAAGCTGCCATGGAATGATGGAAAGCCCATGCCGCCGGATACCGCTTAAGGGCACGATGCGCGAGCACATATGGAACCGGCCGACCCGGCCCAAGTTATGGTACATGGATCCACAAAATCGCGTTGAAAGTTCAACTACAATTACATTGACGAAAGCGCCCTTTTACTAGAGTCCAAACAACAAACACTGGTAGCCACGTGGCAAGATGGTAACCGAGGTTCTTATACCGAAGAAGACCACCGAGTGACTCAGCGTCTGAGCCAGCCAGAGCTTTTTACCTGTCGTTGAGAGGTCAGTATAGAGAAACACACGCGCGAGAAAGATGCATAAAAATCAACAACCCCCCACCAGTGACAGCTCTCCTCGTCTCCCTTCACTCTACTCTTCCCCTCCTCCCTTTTATTTTTCAATCTCATCGTTTTCTTTTTTTTTTCTTCCTCCCTTCTATTTCCTTCTCTTGTTTTGACCTCCGAATCCCTAATGATTTTCGGTTCCCTGCAAACTGCCGGAATTCACATCTGAATTTTCGCCGCCGGATTCCTTACCGGAATCTGACGACGCACCGAGCTCGCAGTGCAAGCTTTGTTCGAGCTGTGTTGATGAAGGTCGTCTGAGTCTTCTTTGCTTTATTCCTGTTGATCTGATTGTGTGAAGTGACACCATGGGTTGTGCTGGATCCTCGCAGAGCAAAGGAGACGGTGAGCCTATTCACCAAGTGACTTCTCTTGTTTTTTATCCTTGTTTTTTTTTTTTGGGTTTTTCTATGATTTCCTTTGGTTCTTGTTCTAGTCAATTCAATTCTTTAATTCCTTCTCAGGTTCAAGATCGTATTTCCTGAGAGTATGTATCTTTAAAACGCATGTCGTTTAGTTTATTTCTACTCGTATAATGCAAGTGAGGGATGATTTGCAAGCAAAAAAAAAAAAAAAAAGGAAGAGAAGGGGCAATGAGTATTTCTTCTCTCTGCAATTTGATTCTTCGTCTCTGCTTGGTACGACGTAAAATGAAGGGAAACGAATGGTTTTCTGAAATTGATATTTCACGGTGTTTGGTTGGACGTAAAATGTCCGTGGTGTGGAAAACGAATAATTTCCATTTTCCAAAACTCCAGTAATAATTCATGGAAAATGACATTCCTCATAATTTCCTGTAAGTCATTTTCTGAACAGAGATTGGTCCTGTCGATTTATATCTTGGGCAACTTGTATAGTTGTCAATTCAAGTTTGTTTTCCAAGTTAACCAAAACTTCAGGAAAATAGGAATATGTTTCTTTTTCCTATTGAATACCATTTTCCAAGGAAACCGGTTGTTTGCCTTCATTTTTACGTGCAACCAAATGCACCCTTTGTTTCAAGACTTTTAACTTGAGCGAAGAATTCTTGATTCTTGTAAATTGTATTTCTCTGAACTTCAGCGAATCTTTGTCAAGTTCTCGACCTGGTTAGCGAGGAACAATTCCTTGATATTGAAGAAAGTATCACTCAGAAATGCTTCTGTATCTTGTATTTCTTTGGAACGGAGCTCCTTCTTTGCTGTTCTTGGATAAAGAAATTCTAATGTGCTTCCTTTTCCAGTCCTTATTGAACGAATTATGGGCCCTCTTTTGATGAATGGCCCTGCTTTGATTTGACGGATTGGGACAAGTATTGTATGCGGTCTATTTCAGGACCTGTTTCTGGACATCTGTTTACTGTAATTCTGATATTTATATGCAGTAGGTAGGTTATATACTTTTAAATATATTGTAACTTAGTAAAAGAATCAACATTATTTCTTCCTTGTTTGGGTTGATGCCATTCTTGGATCCCAAGACAATTTTGAGCCTCTTTCTTAGTTCTTTTCCTTGGCATAATTGACTAACCTACCAAAAGTTGTTTACTGGATCAAGAAGAGGTTTCTAGCTTCTTGGTAATTAGATCTCTTGTGAAATCCCCCAAGTCTGTCATGGGTTGTATTGGATTTCTGTATCAAAATTACATCATCCCATGTTCATCAAGGAGCTGTACAATGGGAGTCTGGTGCAAGTCATTTTAAGGGCAGAATCTCCCATTTCTCTATTATTTATCTATAATCATCGTCTTTTTCAGTCTGTTGATTAGAGTTATTATTTAGTAATGTGATACCACTAAAAGCTGCATATCTTTTTCAGGGAATTGATATTTTTCAATTATCTTTAGTTTGTATATTGTCTAGTTTAATATCATTCTCTCTCATGCTCATTTCATCTGGCTCCTGCATTCTGTTTGTTCATTAACTGCAGTATTCCTTAGACTTGACAGTAATGCCTATCAGATAAACATTTTGGTTATGACTATCCAGACAGTGATATATTTACTTTTTTATCAAGTGAAATATTGTCGTGGTTTGATGCTCACAGAGACTATAAAAAAGATCAGAAAGCCAAAGCCTTGGAAACATTCTCAGCCAATAACAAGGGCACAGCTTGCACAGATGCGAGATGAGTTCTGGGATACTGCTCCTCATTATGGTGGCCAGAAAGGTATCTTTCCTTGACAAAATAATTTTTTTTTGAAAAGGTTTTTAATAGTTATAAATTATCTATTGACAATGAGTATTAGCAGATTGTGAAAACTACCTCGTCTACTGTCAGAGTTTAATGTTATCAAAAATAACTTACGAGTTAATCTATCAAAAAAAAAAAAAACTTACGAGTCTAAATATTCTAATAATCGACATGCTTTTCCCATTTTGTAAATACACACATAACTGTGGTGATGGTCAATCTCTTATGATGAATTTTATTGTACAGCTGATTTTTATGAAGTGTATGCTGTTTAAAATAAAGGACCATTACACTTGCTTTTGTTCACTAGGCCTTAGCAAGGACAAAAGCATGATTTGCTAGTTCATCAAAGTGAAACACTGAAATTGCAAATCTTTTTTTTCCTCTCTTTCCTCATCAGGTCTGCATGTAATTGCAATGGGTACAGTTTCTTATGGCATCCTAAATGATAGTCAAGAACTATAGGTGGCTGAGTCCTCCAAAAATGAAAATAAACTGCTTTGTGCACCCACAACCAGAGAGCATATCAATGTAAACTATTAACTTATGAGAAACAGAGAAAGGGAACTTCTTTTCTTTTTTTACTCAGCAACAGATCTAATGAAATTTATGGAATAAGTAGAGAAGTTAAATGTACAAAGTCTTTAAACACAAGTTGGGTTAAGGAGACCTCTAGCAAGCATCATTGCCCTTGGATCCAGAAACATAGGAGTTGCTAAAAATAACATATAGTCTAAATTCCAAAAGCAGGGAATGGGAACTCCTGTAGAAAGACCCTGTACATGCCCCTTCTCTTGCTAAGCTATTTGCAAGTGAGTTGGTCTATTAGGATCCGTGAGAATCAGCTGTTCATTCTGAGAGCTAGACTCAGCCTCTCTAATAAAGTGCTGTAGATGGACATCTGTCTGATTTAGCATCTAGTCACAACAACTTGTGAGTCCCCTTCCATGTTTATTTCCTTCTGAAGCATAGCTTACTCCTAACCACTATTGCATGCCTCTCCTAAGTGAATGAAGTGTGAAGTTTCTGTGTTGGACTTGCATCAAGTTCCAATATTCCATAGGTTTTTTTGTCACTCCATGGATTCTTGGATGCTTTGGCATAACATTTCCCTTTATCTACTTGCTTGTTTGACATGAATGAACAGCTAATATACACAATGAATTTCATTTCCTTCTACAAACCATTATTAAGTGACAAATCCATAAAATAACCATTATTAAGTAACAAAATTTCTAGACCTTATTTAAGGTATACAATGCTAAAATTCAGAAAAAAGGGCTATTTAGTAGTTTATTCTTTTCTGTAGACATGTCTGCTAGTCCTTGTTTTTTCATCTTGCTGAGTCAAACTCCCGGGCTTGTGTTCTGATTCTTATTTTTTTGTCCATACAATGAATGAATCTCTTTCAACTGGGCCTGTATGATCACCGATATTTGCACATTGCCATCTCTGTAAAGTCTGCCCACTCCTGAGGTGCTTGAATTCCTTGAAAAGCTACCATCAAAATTTAGTTTAACTAAACCTTGGGGCAAGGCTTCACTATCTGATGTACTGGTTGTCTAAAGTGGAAAAGATCAACAATTAACTACCACCATCTAATGATAGAGTCCAAGGTGACCCCTCGAAACTCTTCTCTGTTAAGCACCAAATGAGTCATTTTGTCTCTGTTGTCTGTAAAAGAAGAAAAAGATTATCTGCTACTCCTGCCTTTCATTGTTCTTGAGTAAAATTTAGAATAGAAATATCGGTCAATGATGGGCTTGCCAAGAATAAATGACCTGATTGGGGATGGTTCTAAGGGAATTCATACCTATTGCTCAGTTTGTTTGTGGTGCAAATGAAGTTTGCACTGGTTTAAATGCATGGGTGTACAAATGGGCTGAGTGTAAATTCTGCTTTATTTTCTGTTATGGGCCCGGGCGTAGGATCGCGTCACGGGTCGGTCCACGGGGAGAACCTCTCGTTTCCCCTTGCTTCTTCCCTTACGTGCAGACCCTATCGTGACGACCTAGGGGGGGTGGTGATTTGTTCAAGAGATCACCCTAACTCTCCTTACTCCTTCCTTGATCGAAAATTTGATGATTTATTCTTTAATTCCAGCTCCTTAAATAGGAGATTACAAGAGGTAGGGATACTCTTTATTGGATTCGACTTCTTACAGATAAGACCCCTATCTTGAGAAGGATAAGACTCCCTAGATAAATCAAACTCCTACTATAAGACTCCCTACTAAACCTTATTGGACTAGATAATGAGAAAAACAATTAAGATAACTATGAAAGATAAGATAAAGTAAGCTGTGGTCTAATCCTATGTGGACTCCTACGTGGACACCTCGTCACTGCTGTTGCTGCTGCCTACGGCGGTATTTCTTCCCAACGAGAATGTATCCACAACATTACACCCCTCCGGGACTATGAGCTTGTCCTCAAGCTCGAGATCGGGATATGTGTTCTGTAGTTCAGTGAAGGGCATCCAGGTGGCTTCGGCTGATGGTAAGTTGTCCCATTCCACAAGGACCTTGAGGACACCCCGATTGATTCTGGAGCAGACGAAGGCCCAGGGTTGGAGGATGAGCTTGCCGTCTTTGAGGGGCGGCAGAGAGGGTACCTGATCCGGTGGATCTCCTGTGAATGGCTTGAGCAAGGAAACACGAAAGATATCATGGATCCTGTTGTTCGTCGGTAGCTCGAGCTGGTATGCAACTGGGCCGATCCACCGTAAAACCTTGAACGGTCCATGAAATTTAGGAGCTAGTTTGGGAGCAGCCCGCTGTCTCAAGGATCGTTGTCGGTAGGGCTGGAGCTTCAACCACACAAATTGACCTGGTTCAAACGTTAGGTCCCGTCGATGCTGGTCATAGGTGTGCTTCATGAGTAATTGCGCTTGTTGTAGGCGGAGAGAGACTTCAGCCAGGAGGGCATCGTGTTCCTGGAGGGAATGGTCAATCTCGTCCAGTCGAGTGGATCCGGGCTCGTATGATAGCAAGCGAGGAGGATCTCGGCCATAGACTACTCGGAAGGGTGTCATGCCCAGGGACGAATGATAGGCCGTGTTGTAACAATATTCGGCCCAGGGGAGCCACTCCACCCACCGTCGCGGTCGGTCCCCTACAAAACAGCGGAGGTACATTTCGATCGTGCGGTTGATTGCTTTCGTTTGGCCGTCTGTCTGAGGATGGTAGGCGGAGGAGAAGGCCAAGGTCGTTCCTTGTAATCGGAACAGTTCCTTTCAGAAGGTACTGGTAAAAACGGGGTCCCTGTCGCTGACGATGGATTCCGGTAACCCATGTAGACGGAAAATGTGTAAAGAAAACGTGGGCGACTGAAATGGCACTGTATGGGTGAGCCATAGGGATGAAGTGGGCATATTTAGAGAAGCGATCCACCACAACGAATA